CCTGGAGCAGCACCTGCAGGCCTCGCAGGCGTACCAAGAGGCCATGGAGGTGAGGGGGGGTCCCTGCTATCCAGGCTGCACGTCCTCCGGCTCCCACCACAGCAGCCCCAGGCGGGGTGGGCTGGGCAGGTGGGGCCGGCCGGGGAGCCACAGCGCCCCCTGCGCTTGCACCTTGGGCCCCGCCAGGCCAAAGGGGGGGAAGAGGGAGCGACCCGCGGCGAGGGGCTGGCAAGCCGGAGCTCTCCTCCTCGTCCTTGGGGCAGCATCGGCTCCCTCGCCTGGGCCGTTCCCTCGATGGAGAGGAGGACCTGTGCTGTCCTGCGGTCGGCCTCGGCTCACAGACTGTGGGTGGTTTAGTGCCCAGCGAGGCCTGCCCGCTCTCTTGCTCTCTCTGAAATAACACACACATGGAACTGCACACCCGCCCGCCCGCCTGCCAAGCCTTGTCCCTGCTCAGGACCAACCCTCCTCTGCCCCCCCTCCCACTTTTTAGGGGCACCTGGGCTGGCTGGAGAAGGCCGAGCTGAGGATGGCAGAAGAGTTCCTGGTGAGGGGAGACGTGGAGTCCGTGAAGCAGCAGCTCCTGGAGCTGAAGGTGAGATGAACCCCCAAGATGTGGCAGGCAAGGGGGGGGGAGCCTGGGGCGCCCAGAAGGAGAGGGGAGGGGCCCCTTCACTTCACTCACACCCCCTGGGAGAGAGGAACAGCCGTGGGGCCTTGCTCCCTGTGCTCCAGAAGGTGGAAAGGTACGTCCACCCCCTGGCGAGCTGGCTGGTTGGCTGGCAGACTGCGCTGGGGTTGAGCGAGGAAGCGTGACGTGGCACTGCCGGGACAGGTGGGGTGCCGGAGCCCTCTGGACTCCAGAGTAACCTCTCCGGGAGAAGCTGCCCGTTCCCCAGGCAGAGCACACGGCTGGCAGCCCTCCTCTCCTGAAGAAGGAGGTTCTCTGCCTGCCGCCCCGCTGCTCGGAGCTCTTGCGCTGGGCTGGACAGCCAGAGTGCTGCAAGGATGGGAGGTGCTCCATGGATCCAAGCCGTGGCAAGGCCACAGCTGAAGGCCACAAGAGTCTTCCCCACGGTTTAACCACAATGCCACAGAGCCTTGCAGCGCAGTCGTTAAAGTGCTGTGCTGCAGCTAAAACTGTGTTCCCGACCCGGGGTTCAATCCCAGGTAGCCGGCTCCAGGTGGACTCAGCCTTCCATCCTTCCGAGGTCGGTAAAATGAGTACCCAGCTCTCTGGGGGGACGGGGGGGGCAATGCGTAGCCTTCATTATTCACTTGCAAACCACCCAGAGACTACTTGAAGCGCTATGGGGTGGTATAGAAGTAGCGTGCTTTGCTTTTTGTTCCCAACATGCACACACACACACCCTTCTCCATCGTGTTCCTGTCAGGAGTTCAAGCGAGAACTGTACCAGCGCAAGGTGGACGTAGAAAGCTTGCGGCATCAGGTGGCCCCCAAGGGGGGAAGCCAGAAGGA